TCATCCAGGTACTCAAGACAAACTCGGTTCGATCTTTCAGATGTGGAGATATATATTATATATTCTTCGCAGGAGATGGCAAAAGTACTGCTGCCATCTCTTTATATATGTGCCCTGCAAGCTTGAAATGATAGCACGCTCTCTCTCTCTCTCTCTCTCTCTCTCGTGAGTTACAGAAAGAACCAGTTTAAGCAGTAAAACCTGTTGATATCCCTGGAAATGGCTGGTCTCGAGGCTTTGCCATGCTTTAGATCTTGTTTATTTTGTATGAAGCGAACACCACTCCTACAAATTCTCAATCAGCCACCCCCACCATCCTATCACCTTTTCTTTCTCTCTTTACTCAAAAGTGTTGGTGCTGAAGACAAGCTTTCTGGGTTTTGTTACATCCTCTAAGTTGTGACTTCTTGGAGGAGGAAGACAGGTTGGCTTCTTAGGCTGCTGCACTTCTTCGACGAGAGTGGTGTGTTCTCTTGAGAGAAGAAAAAGTGGAAAGGGTTGCGCCTGGCTCCCTGTATGCCACATGCGTAGACCGATGTCCATGGGGAGATTGGATATTGTGGGTGGCGTGCGAGGAGCCAAGCATGATCTCTCTCTCTCTCTCTCTCTCTCCCTCTCTCTCTCTCTCACACTCACTCACTCATGTTAATTTGTGGCTACAACCATTGTTGTGCAACTAGCTCGATGACACACATACAGAGACGAAACTTGTACTATCTGAACTAATTTCTAACAACATGATTTCATGTGTTTTTCGATATATATATATATTATTCTCAATCATGATGATATGCTACTGCAGGATCCTCGTCTGAGTAGTATTATACCAGAAACGTAGGAAATGTTAGTAGTAGTTTTGGTAGATTGATTTGGTTGGGACCTCTAAAGACAACACTTGCTACTGTGTTCCATGTTCTCTTTTACCATCGGTCTTTGTAGTTGCAGTGAGTTCTTCTTGACTTGAAAGTCTCTGATAAGATTCTTAAGTGCTGAGATGTGTCAGGTTCTTCGATTGGATGGAACAAATGGCATCTAAGGAACAAAAGCATGGGTATGCTATGGAACAAATAGCCTCTACTTCTTAAAGCCAAATTATTTCTCTGGGAGGATTCCTTCCATTCATTTACTCTCTCTCTCTCTCTCTCTCTTGCACACAGACTTTTAATAGGGCATTGGTTGCTTGAGCCCTGTGGCGATTACTCGTTCAAGGTTCAATCTCATTGATATCTATCCATCCATTGATAAATCGAAGAGAAGATTCAGTGGTGAAAGTCAATTCAGTCTCGTTTCGGTCGGTCAACTCATCAAATATGTACCATAAAATTTTCCTAGTCATAGAAAAGAAAACCTTCGCATCAGACATAATCCTCTCAAATTTGATAATATCATGTTTATACAAAAGTAGATCAGCTCAGATCAAACTCAACATCAAATTTGACACTAACACATAGAAAGATTAATTTTCTAACGGTACACTTTTTTTTCTTTTCACAAAAAAGAAAAAAAAATAGCTTCATTTTAGTGATGAGTGAGTTTGGCAATTGAGCAGTTGCAGTCAATCACTGATTGAGCAGACCCAATTACAGCAGGTGAGTTATGTGGCAAATAAATAAGGCAGCAATTGTGTGGTAGATGAGCCAACCTGAAACCCATCGGCTAGTATTCAGCTTCACGTCTCAGCAAGACAAAAATGGTTTATCCTATTTCTACTAATTAGTGTTCAACAAGTCCCTTGATGCACAAGATAAATAAATAGAACAAATATTCTGCAGAAGTTTAACTAATCTTGAGAGACTGCAGATTGATTGTAAGAAGACAACAGTGACCTCTAGAGCTGCTGTTTAATAGGATATTTTTAGAAGTATCGAGCAAGGTCAACTAACCTG